AAATATTGATTTTTTTTTTCTTAAGGTCTTCAACTCCCTACTGTAATGGATGTTCTTCAACACATTGTCTACAGAAGATCACTACTTCCTCATAATGTTAAGAAGTCAGCAATTTTATCATGCCCTCCTTACAAGATTCAGGGTTACAAGAGATGTGAAGTAGATGATTGTGAATGCATTTTAGGCTTAATTAAAAGACCATGGCTTAAAGCGGGATTTCAAGTAATGTCAGATAAAAGTATTATCAAGAACCTTATGAAGATGGACAAGAAGTATTCAGATTTGAGTAGAAATAAATGCAGAGGAACAGCTAGAGACAAGGTTAATCAAGGGGAGTTTGTTTCATTTTTGAAAAAGCTGTTTTGGATTGGTTCTACAGATTTAAAGAACCAAATTAGAAAGGATAAAAAACGCTCAGATAAAGATAAGCACGATGATTTAACTTTTTTGGATGACCAGGAATGACCGAGATATTTTAGTTTGGGATCAGAAGATAGAAAATTTAGCAAAAAGGTTTTGTGTTGTTTTTATTGGGTTAATTTGACGTTTTTTATTCAAATTTGCTAATTTAACATACATTATTTGTTAATACACATACACTATGTTAAAATAAATTTTAGGTTTCTGAAGGTGTGAGGAAGAGGACAAGGCTAGAAGACGAATCTCCTAAGATTGACGCTACCTCAGAATTACACTTGAATTTCACTGACACTAGCGCTGATTCAGATTCAGAATTTGAACCCAAAGTTTGGCATCATAGAAGAGCAGATGATTGTAACATTACTGCCAAAGTACCTAAGAATATTTTTGATGGAAATGTATCTATCATAGCTACAGCAAATGATATCTCCCCCAATGTCTTACAAAAAGTAACTGGAGCAATTCTTCAAGATTGTGGAGTTGATATCGCAAAATGCAAAGCCAGTGCTTCAACAGCATTAAGGAAGATGAAAAAAACTGCCAAGGATACTGCAGAAATTGCTAAATTAGATATAAAGAAGGCCGTGGAAAAAAGCCGTTATCCCTGTATAATTCATTTTGACGGAAAGACTTTGTTTGAAATAAATCAGGGAAAAAGACTGAAGAATAAAAGATTAGCTGTGCTCGTTAATATTGAGGGGGTGTCGCATCTTCTTGGAGTACCTGCCTTGCCGTCTTCTTCAGGTGAAAATATGTATATAGGAATCATAAAAATTCTAGAAGAATATGACCTCATTTCAAAAGTATGCGGAGTATGCTTTGATACAACTTCAAGTAATACTGGTTCTAAGAAAGGATCACTTACTAGGATTGCAAGAGAGGTTGACAAATACCTTCTTCTACTAGCATGTAGGCATCATATCATTGAGCTTAGAATGGTTCATTTCTGTGAAGCAGTGATAAAAGAGAATAGCGTAGGGCCTGAAAATCCTTTATTCGTAAAGTTTAAACATATGTTTGAGAACCCTAACTTCAAATACGACGAAAATAACCTGACCTCTCTTGATTGGAAAACCGTGGAAGGAACAGTTTTGAAGGAAGCTGCAAGGAAAACTTTAGATTACTGTGAGACCTATATTACTAAAAAATGCAATATGAGGAATGACCGAAGAGAGTTGGCTGAGCTAACCATGCAGTATTTATCCCCTTCTGCACATTTCAAATTAAAGAAAACTGGAGCTGTTCATCATGCTAGGTTTTTAGGCAAGAGTTTATACTACCTTAAACTTCAGCTTTTGTGCAAGCAACTGACATTTGTGCAAGAAAATGATAATCTACGCGAAGATTTAAAACTCATCTGCGAGTTCATAGTATGTTTTTACACAAGGTGGTACCTTCAAGCACATAAAGCAATTCAATCTCCTGCGTCTGATCTTGATGCAATCTTTCAGATGAAAGAGTGTAAGAAAGTTTGCTCTAATCCGGAGGCAGTAGACGCAGTGTTAGCATCTCTTTATAAGCATACATGGTATCTTGATTCAACGATTATTCCCTTGGCTCTTTTGGATAAAAATATTTCTATGGATAAAAAAACAGCCATTGCAGATGCTTTGCTTTCCTTCCAAATGCCAGATCCAGATTTTTTTAAACATAGAAGCAAAGATCGAATAGACGAGATTAATATCATAAATAATATGAAGGTACCAACCCTCTCTCTTTTGGTTAATGAGTTTTCATATTTAATTTTTTCAATGATAGGGTTGGATAATCAGAGAGTGAGAGACTGGTTGTCACTTCCACCCCAATATTGGCACACCCAGTCCTCGTTTAAGAATTTTGAAAACTTTGCCAAAATCTTAATTGTTGTCAATGATCATTCTGAACGAGCAATCGGAATGATGCAGCAGTTGGTACAAAGATTCGAAAATGAGGATGACAAGCAGAACAGACTTTTAACTGTCGACAAAGTAAGGTCAACTTTCAAGGTTTTTGGTGTGGGAAAAAGTAATAATACAAAAAAAAAACTATCAGAAAGCCTGATGTCACTCTCTAAATTAAAGAAAAGGAAATTGTAGACTTAGGAAATTGTTATTTATTTTAAAATACTTATTTCAATTAATGCATAATTTTTGTCTTGATAGTATTTGTAAAGATTTTAATTAAATGGTAAATTACTTGTTTAGTTCAAAATAGTTTGTTTTTTTGGTTGATTTAAGCGGGAATTTTTACGTCTGTCCATCTGAATGAACTTTAAGTATGAAAATACATAATGTACTGATTTCATAACCACTTGCGTAAATTAAACTTTTCATTTTTTGATTTCTTTATCGTTTTAACCAAGAATATGTAAAAAACATGATGACATACCCTTTTAAAATGAAAATATAGATATCAAATAACAAAAACAAAAAAAAAAAAAAGAAATAATTTTTTCATTTAAATCCCCCTCAAACACCCTGAACACACCCTATTTTTCCTTTTTTGAAGTACAATTTCTTAACAACTTTAGTTTTGAGGGGGACTTAAAAGTCACCCGATTGACCTAAAAAAAATTTTGACAAAGTTTTAGCATTTTTGCTCCAACTTTAGCTGGGTATGTACTTCGATTTCAAAAATTCCCTAAAAATGACTACCCCTAATATATATATATATATATATATATATATATATATATATATATATATATATATATATATATATATATATATATATATATTCATAAAAAAATAGTTCTCGTTAAAAAATACAACGTCGCAACTTTCAACCATTACTCTTGGTTTTCTTTAATTCAATTAAAAGTTAAAGTAAAAGAAAAAAAAAATTATGATCATCTGGATCATATGGATCATCTTTTTTTTTGATTTAAAATCAACTGTTTTTTTTGTTGTTAAACAAACTTTGTTCAATAATATTTATATTTTCAAATATTTATCTTTTCAAATTTAATATTTATCAATATTTATCTTTTCAAATACAAAAATAAAAGTTTCTAAAAGACCTGTTAAAAAATAATCTGTTAAAGAACTTGTTACCATTTTATTGAACAGTTTATTTTTTAAATTAGTTGAGTTTAAAGGGTCCATCAAAAGGCGTAAAGTTGCGCCAAAAACTTGGCAAAAATTATCCTTAATGTCCTCTATAGAAACCTTTACGTTGTTCAAAAAAACTTTTGTAAAAAATTTTAAGTACTAACTTGGGGTCAGGGCATTAATAATATATACAATCAAGTACAATCAAATTTGATAGTATAAAAAGTATCTAATATATAAGCTTGATTATATATTTATTTTTATTGATTTTGAAAGTATTCAATAAACCCATTCCAAAACTATTAAAGTTTAAATTAATTATTGATAGCTTTTTAGGAAAAATCATCCGGCAAGACTTGATTTAAGTAAAGATTATGCCCCCTCAGACCCACCTTTATACCCTAGCGAGGGTACTAAACAGCGATAATATAATTTGCTATATATATATATATATATATATATATATATATATATATATATATATATATATATATATATATATATATATATATATATATATATATATATATATATATATATATATTCAAACATGTAAGAAATTTTGATATGTTTAATGTTACAGGGTTTCTATACTCTAGAACTTGTCACTGCTTTTTGACAGAATATTATCATCAATTTTTGCGAATATTTTTAATAATATTTATTTAACGTATTCAGTTATTAAATGATATATTTAATTATTCATACATTTAAATCTGATTTTAAAAAACATAAATAAATTTTGTATCAGATGAAATATTTACAAAGTTCAAAAGAAAAAGTAGTGCTGTATCAAATTTTAATCGATGTGATTTGATCATATTAAAACATCAAAAGGTACCAAAAGAAAATCTTGACAACAAATGAACGATTGCTTATGAAATCATTTGTCAACTTACCAAAATAAGTTAAAATATAGCAAACCCTCAAGGTTTTGTTCAAAGTCAAAGATTTTAAAAGAAAAAAAAAAATCAAATCTTGATTACACCCATTTCTTCTTTCAAATCGAGGTTCACATCAAAATGTATTGAAATAATTTGCTATTGTGATTTCAAAATCAACTATCGGACTAATATTGAATATTACTTCTGCAACTAATTAATACTAACCAATATTAGTTGGTTCTCGAAATACTTCCATTTGCTTTACAACATCACTAATAGGGCATTCAACGGTGAACCTTTTACTGAGTATATTCAGGAACTGATTTTGAGACTCTAAATGTTTTGAAAATTAAATTTTTTTCAAGAACTTTATACGCTTTTTTTAAAAGTTGAGCGTTTAAAAAATAGTTATGGGTAGTTTAACTTGTTATTACTATGGCAATTCAACTTGTTGTTATTATGGATGGGCAGTTTAACTTGTTGTTTTTACAAAGATGTTTACTGTTCTTAAACCCTGTTAAAAACTTATTCAGCAAATGGAAAAAAAAAAAAAAAATAAAACCACAAGGGTTGATATATAGCAAAATACAAATTGGCTAAAATGTAATGAATATAAAACGGTATAATATTTGACTTAAAATATTTCAGTATTTTTTTTCATTTATAGGTAACAATTTTCGAATAAGAAATATATACGGTATTGGACAAGAAAATGAACACATTTCAAATGATATTTTAAGAGTATTGGACGAAATACTAACAACTGCTTTGAACCTAAAAAAACGAGCAGACCATTTCTGTGCTTTTCAAAATAAAATTGATCAATTTCAAAAAATGGTTAGTATAAATAAAGATTTTTTTCAAAAATATTTCTTTTCAAATAAATTTTCTGTAAAATGCAAAAGATGTTTAAATTGGGTGAATAAAAAGTCAAAATATTGGGAAACCGCACTTAAAGATTGGGTAAAAAACGCTGAGAAAGAACTAATTATTCTACAGAACTATGAGCAAATTTTATCTGAGAGTGGAGTAAAACTTATTGACGACGAAAAAGAATTGCAAAAAAATAATGCCGTTGTTGTTACTCTTTATATTAATACATTAACAAATGATAAAATATACAACATCTTGAATAATCATAATACACATTTACCTTCAGAAAAAAAATCAGATGTCGATGAATCTTTTGAAGGTAAACCTTATAAATATAGAGATAATATTGAATCAACTATAGATGAATTAAGACAAAATAAATCTAGTGATGATGAATCAAACGATGACGATTCAAATGAAGATTTATACTTTGAATGTTTAAATGTAAACAATTGGCACGAAAATGAAACTCTAAGAACCGGTGCCATAAAAATATTTAACCAAATAAAAGAACTTGCGGAAGCCAACAATTTTAAAATTGCCAACAAATCTAAAACATTTTTATTCTTCTTTTGGGTGAAAAAAGAAGAAGGTGATAAATCTTTCAATATGTCTTTAGAAGTTTGGATGAAAGGGTCTCGAGTTTTCACCTCTTTTGAGCCACCATCTGCTGTAGATGACCTTGTTTTCGAACCAGGTTCAAGTATCATGTTGAAATGGAATAAACCTAAAATAGGATTTAAAAACGTTACATCATATTTATTGCAGTTCAAAAAGATAGATTTTTACAAAGAGTTTGAGACGACAACAATTGAAGTAAACTTTTCAACAGATAGTTTTACATATTTCAAAGTTGATGATGCTAAACTAGATAAAAGTTTTACTTATGAAATTAGTGTACTTTGTACCAGCATGGAAAAAAAGCTAATGAGTAAACCGAAAAGCATCCACCTTCTAAAAAAAATATCATTATGCTCAATTAATTTTGAAATTTTTAGATATCGTAATGTCTTGATATCGTGGGCTAACCCTGCAAAAACATATGGCACTAAAAATAAGTTTGAAATCAGTTACAAAAGCCAATTTGAAAAAGAAAAATGGATTAAATGTAACATTGATTTTAATAACTCAAAAAAATGGTTAAATGATCTAAGATTTTCATCCATTTACTTATTTAAAATAGTTACAGAAGACTCAAGTAAAATTGAAGAACTCTGTTTGTATACAAAAAAAATACCTCCACTCAAGATACAAAAAGCTTTTTTTAAAGACAATGAAATGATTGTAGAATTTTATTGTTTAATCAATGAAAAATTAAACTACACTTTTGAATGGAAATCAGAAGCTGACGTTCAAACTTGGAATAGTTATTTACCGTTAAACATTTATACAAAATATGATAATCCAAATGAACAACGCATTCTAATAGAAATACACAACGCCAAATATGGACTTTACCTAGTAAAAGCAAAGTGTAGTAAAGGTACTACAGAAAATGAAGAAAGTGAATGGAGTGAAATAGTCCCATGTTTTAAATCGGTAAATATCTTTTGTTTTTACTTTATAAATTTCCAAAAAAGTTTAGTTACAGACGGCAATAAATTTTAAAACATATTATAAAATAAGCTATGCTTTTTATCTCTATCTCATTTTGTTAAAAGGTTGTAATCAACCTTTTAACAAAATGATCATAATGGTTTAAGTACTTATTAATTCTAAAAAACTATATTGTCTTTCTTAAATTTTAAAGCTTGACGAGCTCATCTACTTGTCAAGTTATGTACTTATTAGGGACATTATCCACAATAACACGCTTCAAAAGCTGTTTTAAAATCATATTCATAGCCATAATCTTCGATCTTTATTTTTTAGTAGCCTTTCTTTGACTTTAAAGCAAACACATAAGTATGCCAATAAGTCAATCAAGTATCAGTCAATTCAAAAAATGGTTAGGAAAAAATAAAAAAGAAAAGTTACTGTTAAAAAGAAAAAACGTTGTTAGAAAAAAATATAAATATATTGAAAAAAAAGCAATAAGGTTAATAAAACAAACACAATCAAATTAATTTTGTATTTGAAACAGCCTGTTTATTTTAAAAAAAACTTTATTCACAATCTTACAGCAAGATTCCGAGATACGTAGCGTATATATAGCGTATATCTACCGAGATATATAGGGTATACTAAAGTACCTTGGAACCATGCTGTCAAAAATGCAACTCTTAGTGTCATTGTTTTTTTTTCTTAACTAATTCACTCCAAACAATGCTGTTGGCAACCACTTTTTAATTGCGAAAATAAAAAATATTGTTAAAGAGAAAAAAAAAACAGTTGACAGAAGTCTTAAAAACTGTAAATTGTACGACTCAGAAAAACAAGATGGGAGAGAGTTCCAAAGCACTGATGTGCGAGGAAAAAAATTAGGTGAATAAAAATATTTAGAGCATGAAGAGACAGATGCAATAAAAAGATACAACTTTGCTAAATTTTGATTGGAGAGAGTTTTGGTTGATTAAACTATAAGTGATAGCTCTTTTGAGCAGCAACCAAATAGTATTTGTAGTAAAGAAAAAAAGATGTAAACTTTTTTGTTTTCTTTTACGACATTTTATTTATGTGTAAGCATAAATAAAATGCATGCACAAAGACTATGTAGTAAAGAACTCATTTTCAGTTCTCTAGCTCAAATAGTGCGTTTGCATCCTTGTTCCTTATTTTTAGCGTCAATAAACTTCTTCTAGATGTAACTGGAGTGTCTTATTGTATTTCCTTAAAAGCTCAAAGAAGGCTAAAAAATTACCATTATCATCCTCGTTGAGCATGTTTGATGAACCTATACAAATATGAACATAATATTGAAATAAAGATTGCATCGAGATTAATATTCCAAGCAACATTAAAATTATTTTATAAATATAAACTGTAAACACACCTCGTAAACTTAAATATCTCAAAGCTTAATGGAAAGTGACGTCCAGGATGAAGCGTAAAGTTTCATACCACTTAAATGCATTATTTTTAATTTAATTTTCATGTTCTGAATCAATCCCTGTCTGTTTTTCAAAATTTTAGAAGCTGATTTTTAGGTGGTCCATTTAGTATGACTAGATTGCAATTAACTTTAGATAATACTCTCTTCCACAAAGCCAGGTCGTTTTCAATTGCTTGATCATCCTGTTGAATTGTCTCTTTACCCTAAATTAAAACGGCATTTGAAAATTATGGTTTGTTTTTAATATCTGCAGGTATTAAACGGTTTGTTTTTAATGTCTCCAGATATTTCATGATATAAAAATGCATCCCAAACTCACCCGATTAACATTTTCTTCAGAGACCGTTAAAAAATTTCAAGGAGAAGATAGCTTTTTTGAACTCAATGGTTCAACAACACTGTTGTTAACATGGTACATCAAAAAAAATTGTTTCAACAATTGTGGAATAAAATTATGAATATGCGATTGTGAATAAAAAAAAAACCTATTAACCTATACCTTAATTACTTGTTCTGACATAGAGTTTGCTAAAAAAAAAAAAGTTAAACTCAGTTTCACAATGTCAAATGAATTGAAATCAATGTATCGAGAAAGAATATTTGAAAAGTATTGGAGTAACTAAACTGATATAATATACAGTTTAGTTATTAATCCTATGTAACAAATGATGTTACATAGCATTAATAGCGTTTTAAAACATGTCTTTTGTTCGGATGTTATATAATCCGATGTTCGAATGTTATATAATCCGAATTTTAACTACATTTAAATTAGTAGTAGCAAATATTAGCAAATAAGTATAATGATTGATTTTTATTGGAAAATGTATGCGAACAAAGGGTAAACGGTAGGAAAAGCGAGGAAATGCATTGACTCCACCTGCAGAACGGGCTTGTAAAATTTTGTGAACATTTTAATGATTATTGTATTAATTGTCAAGATAAAAAAAGAAAAAGAAAAAAAAAAAGATTTTTTGCATGGTTTTAAGCAAAAAGTGCACGAATTAAAACAAAATTGAAGCTTTTTTAAAGATAATTTGTTGTGAAAAAAATTCCACAACTTCAGTTTTTCATCGTGGAAGGACTGATTGCAATGGCTCTAATTGAAAGTTAAATAAAGTTCGAATTATTATACAACACTTCTCTGAACAAAAAACTTGTTTTAAAACACTATTAATTCTATGTAACTTGGCTTAATTATAATGATAATTACATTTATAATTTTTTATTGTGTAAATTTTATTTTTCATTGGTTTTTCGTTTTTATTGTATTTTTTATTCATTTTATAAATTTTATTTTTTAAGTTGTAATTTATAATTATATTTATAATTATATAATTATAGCTTAATTAAGCTATATCTTGAATACTTGGTCGGTCGTAGAGTTATTAGATGCAAATTTTTTTGGTACTTTAATTGAAGCTTTTATCTTTTATTTAAACTGGTTAACAGACTGACAAAAAGTGATTAACTTATTTTAAGTATGCCATCTTAGAAGCAATGAGTTGCCTATGACGGCATACTAATACTTTTTTAAATTGAGTATAACTTATAAAAATGCTAAAATGTTAAAAATTCTCAGAACTATTCTTACTCTTTATGATACAAAGAAACCACTCATCATCATAAACCACTCACCATCATAAACCACTCACCATCATAAACCACTCACCATCATAAACCACTCACCATCATAAACCACTCACCATCATAAACCACTCACCATCATAAACCACTCACCATCATAAACCACTCACCATCATAAACCACTCACCATCATAAACCACTCACCATCATAAACTACTCACCATTATAAACAAAGCATACCATCATAAACCACTCACTATCATAAACCTCTCACCATCATAAACCACTCACCATCATAAACCACTCACCGTCATAAACCACTCACCATCATAAACCACTCACCATCATAAACCACTCACCATCATAAACTACTCACCATTATAAACAAAGCATACCATCATAAACCACTCACCATCATAAACCTCTCACCATCATAAACCTCTCATAGTTCAATCTTCTGCAAGTTTAACGATACATAAATACTTTAATGCAAAAATGCTTCTATGCATTAAAGTATTTACCAGAAATTACTTATAAAATATAAATATTAATTAGATAAATACTAATTTATGATATAGTTTACCATAATCTAATAAAGTATGCATTAAACTAATTTAAAATGTCACGTGTATCTCAAAATACGGAAAAAAAAGTATATACTACAGTGGCAAAATAATGGTCCCAGCTACCACACATACATTAGGCCAACTTAGAGAGCACCGGTTGTTTTTTTCTGATGCAAACGTAACGTTAATCCAATGTCATATGTTTAGCAATGATATCAATAAAAACGACGCAACTAAAAACAGCTTGAACAGTTATATTGGTCCAACGTAGGTAAAAACATAGCTAAGATTGATTGTTTGTACGATATAAACCCAACGATGATCCAATGTGTGTAACCTAACATTGATTCAATGTATATAGATTAAAGTTAATTTAACCTATATAGCACAACGTTGCAAGTACAAAAATATTTAAATAAATCTATCGTAAATATCGAAAAATCAAACCGCAATCAAAACAAACATGGTTAATGCTGTAAAATCGATAGATTTGGAAAGTCAGAAAATTGCGCAACTCACTCTATGTATGTGAATATGCATAAAACATAAAAAGCGACATTGTGCTGGTAGCAGATAAAGCAAAAACCTTCCAGCCTGGTTTTCTACAACTCGATTGGGTTGACAGAACAACAACAACGAAAACAACTACAAGATATTTACTTTCGTTTTCAAGTTAACATATAATCATATAATAACAATAATAATAATATTATTATTATCTATAATAAGACAAACAATATAATTATAATAAAATATAACTAGTAAGAATAAATAAAAGTAATTGTTAGAAAAGGAAGGTGTCATTCAAACAGAAGCCTGATCAAAGGAGTGACACCAAATAATTATAACAATAATAATTAAAAATAATAATATTATCTATAATGATATAAAATATATAGTTATGATAAAATATAACTAATAAGAATAAATAAAAATAATTATTTGAAAAGGAAGGTGTCACTCAAACAGAAGCCTGATCAAAGGAGTGACACCAAATAATTGTAACAATAATAATTAAAAATAATAATATTATAATAATAATGCAAGTAATATGATGACATGAGTGTCACTAATGATCAAAATGAGTGACACCAATTAATTATAACAATTAGTATAATAATAAAATAATAATAAAAATAACAAATATGAACCGAAATCCGCAAAAAAAGTAAATAAAATACCCGGTAGGAAATGAGCTAACGACTAGCTAGCTCTATAGCGATTTTCTAGCGATTTTTTTTTTCTTATTTTATTTTTTGCAAATGTCTTTAACATCTTTAAAAATTCGATTTTTAGTGTTGAGTCTACTGTAACTATGAAAATAATTGAACTTTAAACATTGCGATTTTGTAGCAATGTGTCGCTAGCTACATATCGTAGCTTTGTAGCTAGCT